TTTTTTTGGGGGGGGGGGGGGTTTCTTTGGATCCATGACATGACTGACACAAGACATACACAGATAACTGCTACCTCAACACCCTCCGCCCCTCTCCAGTATCCTCCCTCTCCGACTCCTGGCGCAGCCAACCCTCCCAAATGGTCGCCCGCCTCTCTTCTCCCCATTCCGGCATCAAGCTCGAAGTCTACTCGGACCAGGACGCCTTCCAGATGTACTCGTGCAACCAACAAAAGGGCGACGTGCCCCTGAAACGGACGCAGGGTACGGACGAGATAAGGACCATCCCCAAGTATGGATGTGTAGTCCTTGAAGTGCAGGATTGGATCGATGGGATCAATCACCCGGAGTGGGGGCGGACGAAGAAGCAGGTTTTTGGGCCGGGAGGGGATCCGTATGTGTTGCAGGCTAGGTATGTTTTTGGGGTTGATAAGTAAGAGATTGAGGAGATTTGGGAAGAGGTTAAGGTTCAGGAACTGAGGAGTAATGATATGTGAATAACGAAGTGGGAAAAAACCCCAGCTTCTTGGAGATGACGACGTGAAGTGTAAACATTTGAGGTGTAAATAATTGAGGTCTAAACAAGTGAAATGCAATGGTGAAAAGTGCTGTGGTATTAAACTGAACGTGTGTGGTGATGTGACAGAATTGGTATCATAAGACTCTTCTCAGAAAGGCTTCAAAAAAAAACGCAAAACAGTATGCCAACAAAACAATAACTATGCCCAGCCAGCCCAGCCAGCCGGCATCCTTGCCCCCTTTCTTAACAGCCATATATGTCCCCCTGTTCTCATGCTCCGGTGCATCCCATCCATCTCATCGTCTTTAGCTCGCCATCCATAGCTGCTCTCAAGTTGATCCGTCGAGTGAGCCTCACTGGTTGCTTTCCCGAGATACTTATATCTTTCTCTCTCCAATATCAACAGTTTTTCCATATACTCTCCTTTTCTACCCCCCCACCCATCACTCATCTTTGTTATCTACTTTCTGCCCATCATCAACCAGGATGACAACAGTCAAAGCAGCCGCATACGCCTCGCGGATAGCACAGGCCATACTATTGTCATGTCAGTATAAACGCCCATTCGCCAAGAAAAAAAAAAAAAAAAAAAAAAAAAAAGGGAGGGGTGTTCGGGTTCAAATCAAAAACTCACCAAGTCTTCGCAACATCAGCAACCACCGCACTCAACCCCCAATGCGCACACCACGCCCTGGCCAACACCTCGTTATCCGGCACCCCAAACGCCTCCACCACCAGCACCCGCTCATTGTCCTGATCCTGACCGGTATGATCGGTCGCTGTCGCGGTACCCCCTGCGCTCATCAGATTGCTCCCCTTTTTGCTTCCTCCCAGCCCGTGGTTTCCCAGCCCGTTACTTCCCAACCCAAACGACTTCGGCCCACCACCGTGCATCATACCGCTCCCGTCTAAGCTGGAATTGATCCCGCCATACACCCCGTTCCAGTCCCTTACATGCACCAGCTTATCCGCTCGCACAGATTCGTAGACGTAGTCGAAGAACAACGGGTGAGGCCCATCGCTGCACGGCCACGCGTGCACAAAGTTTACGTCGAAAGTCAGCCGCAAAGGCCATGAGTTCCCGTCAATGGCAAAGTGGATGCTGGCGTCGAACCATTTCGGCCCGTTATCGCTGCTGGTAGCGCCGCTGGTGATGCTGTGCTTGCTGTCGTTGGTGTTGGAAGGGCGGAGGTGCAACATCTCGATGCGGACGAGGTCCGTCAGGTAGCCGTCGTAGTCGTAGTCTTCGTCCTCGTCCATCTTGGGGGCTACCAGCTCGTACTCCTTCACAGGAAAGACCTCGGCGGGAGGGCCGAGTGGGTCGGAGCGCTCGCTCATGGTCTTCACGTCCTCCGGGGTAACGGTTTGCGAGCGCGCAGGCGGTTTGCGTTGTCGGATGCGCGCTATCTGGGCGCGGTCGAGATGCACGGTTGGACGGGCCGGGCCGACCCAGCCGGCGATGGAGAGACACGTGGGGGCAAGGACTTTGCCAACGATGGAGGCGGCGGTCCAATAGGTGTAGCTGCCGCGGTATTGGAAGCCGCAGTGCGGGTGGATGTGGGTGAGGAGGGCGAGGTCGTCAGTGGCGCGGTCGGGGTCGATGTCAACAAGGGAGTTCATTATGAGAAAGGGGAAGGTGGTGCCGGGGAGGATGAGGCCGCTGAAGAAAGCCATGGCGTGTGAGGATATGTGGCCGGTGAGGGTTCCTTGGGCTTCGTGCTGCTTGAGGCAGTCGATGGTCTCGGAGAGGTTGGGCCACTTCATCATCTGGATAAATCGCTTGAGCATGCGGACTTGACGCTTCTGTAGCTTAAACCGAAGACGAATCTGGTCCGGCTGCACTCCAATGCGGTCTACGCGGATGTTTTCGCGCCAGCGGCGGGCAAGGGCGAGGTTCCATTGTATTGTCGGTGGGATTTGGGCCATCAGCTTTTCTTTTGCTTCCGCAAGGTGTAAGCCCGAGTTTATGCGTAGGTCGAGCTCGACACTGAGAAGAAGTTGGTGGAAGAACTTGTGATAGGTAGGGGCATTGCCGAGAGAGTTGTCGTAGATGAACTTGGTGGCGACCTGGTTCTTGGGCAAGGTAAAGTCGATCCAGTCTGGTCGGGAGAGAACCATGATAAGATCGGTTATTTGCTTGTCTAACGTCCTGTGTGGGCTCAGGTACTTGTCGGGATCTCGGAGAAGTCGTCTGTACAGGTTCTTGTACATGAGGTCCTCATCGTCGTCCTCTAACCCCCTTTCCAACTCTTGAAGCCTCTCGAATATGCGATCCAGCGTAATCTCTCGTGGTGCCACGCCAGAATCCCGAAGTGGTATCGACGGCGGAATAACACTGGCTAAAGATACCCAATGGTTGAGGGTAATGGTTCCTGCACGTTTCCCAAAGCAAAATGCATAGCTTGGCTGCTCGAAAGTCTCCCATGGGTAGTTTGCGTAACCGGACCCCTCTTTCCGTAGGGTCATGAGCTGGGTCATGGCGTCGTGCAAGTTGGCGACGTCGGTGTCATCGCCATGATTCCCCGCAACGGTAGCGTAAAGAGTGTAATAGTGATCGGGTGCGTGTGGTATCGGTCGCTTATGACCTCTGAATGCCGGAGCGCCCCTGGATATTAGCTGCATCGCCTGTCCCAGAGATAACTCCTCCTCACTCGACATGCCTGACGGCGGCCAGTCGGTAAGCGGTCCCGGATCATGACGATGGATCTCGTAGTCACGACCTTTTCCCTTGCCATTCGCGCCAGGCCGCCTTGGTCGGCGACGATCGCTTGTGAATTCAGTGGGCAAGTCGGATCTCCTTCGTTGGCGTGAACCTGCGTCGCTATCACTTGCGGTCCTCCTATGGCCTGCTTCCTTTGCTCCCTGTGGATGGTGTGTGTTAGGTTTGTAGTCATATCCCGAGGTGAGTGTTTGTTGACTGACATCTTTCAAGTTCCTGATTGCCGTGCTCTTTGCACGAATCAGGTTCCAGAGACTCTTCCTCTTTGACTCGGCCATCTCTTCACTCCTCCCCCTTCAAGTGCCACTTGCGCCTATGTCGTCGGCAGAATTTGTTACGTTTCGTTTCGTGATTTTCCAAGAGTAAACCCAAGCTTATGGCTCACGACAAACATGGCACATTCGAATAAGGCGTATTCCAACCAGGCTGGTCCTCGAGGGTAGGTATGCAGTTATTGGTGAGTCTCAAAATGTTGAGTGAGGCTGAGCCGCGCATGCATGTATCAAGGCTCCAAACGCCTCATGAATGCGCAAGTGTTAGTCCCGTATATCAATGGAGTATATGTATTATAAGGCTACGACGTTAACGGTATAGGCATGTCGACATTCAACGTAGGTATCGGGTGAGGACAAGTTGGCGGCGCAGGCGAGAATGAGATGGACGAGTGGACCAACGGCGGGGTTCCGGTTACATCCAGTGATGGTTGAGATGACGAAGTCGGTGGTTATGGTGAATCACCTGATGAGTCTCTCAAACAGCTGGACTTTTAGAGACTGAAGAGTCGCGATGGATAGTTGAGTTGGTGATTGTTGTTGTTGTTGTTGTTGTTGTTGTTACCGGGACAGTGAAGACGAGAGCCAAGGAGGGTTGTTCAAGGTATGGAAGGGAAGGAGGCCAGAGACAAAAGGGCATTTGGATAAATAAAACAAGAGGAAGTTGAAACAAGCAAGAGAGGCACCCAATGCAGGTGCAGTGTCGATGCAGAGAAGCAGGCGGCGACGGTTAGCGCTGATATTATGCCTGATAGTGCAGTATCCAATTCCATGATGCCCTGCCGATCCGGTTTCCAGCCATTGGACTTTTACGAGGACGGGACTTCGCTTCCAAGCCCAGCCCAGCACTTGATGGCCCGGACTCGGGTAGATGCCAACCACTCGATTATTCCATGCTTGGTACCTAGAGGTATACCTTACCTATCTTACCGACACGAACAGGGCATTCGGGGTCCAGATTCCAGACGAGAATTTCAGGGAACAATACTCAAGGTAGCCCAACACTGGCTGCTTTAGGCCATTCCAGGTCGCTACAACCCAATCACCTTGTCGCCTCTCGGAACTTGTGACGCAGCTGCCCATGTCCACCTCATCGTGTATCACGGAGCTGCTAATGTGAGGAAGAACATGTGTGTTCGTTTGGACTTCCATCTTCTCGGAACCAGAACTGCACGTTGCCGGGAACAATTCCCTTTTCAAGTCGTTTGCTTGTTGTTCCTGTAGGTACCTTACTTACAGCAGGGGCCTCTGCTTGTACTGTATACCATATACGGTATTGATTATGGCACAGCGCTAACATTGAACGCAGTGATGGATCATAAAGGGCACACAGAGTTACATCTGAGTTGGTGCCGTGATGTTCATCTCTTCGCAAGACATTGGATGAACAGGTGATGGCCAAACTTACTTGGGGAAATACGGGTTGGAGAGATAGGTAGGTAGTGAAAGCCTCTGCTCAAGAGTGAAGAAACTGAGCATGGCCGGGAGGTCGTTGCAACTTGTAAAGTGTCTGTAACAAAGCCCTTGGGGTTGGGGTTAACGGTGCGAATCCAGTGGATTGACGCTAAAGTGTGGGGGTGAAATTACACACACACCGCCTGCTAGTGCAGCGGCAGAATCGAACAAGTCCAGAAATTTTCTTGACCAAAAGTGCAGGCGGCTCGCAATCCCCAAGGTCCCCATTTCCCAAAGTACCTAAACAGCAAAAAAAGCAAGTTAGACACCCTTCAGTTCTCACTTGCAAAATCATCATCCAAAATGGCCCCAGTAACTCGCAGCAGAAGGGACACCAAGAGTGAGTATTTCAACATCAGTTTATAAGACATGTCCATCGTCCAAAAGCTTTTGCGACTGAAGCTAATTCCATCCATCGCAGCCACCGAGTCGCCCGCCAACAAAAAGTCCAAGACTTCCACTCCCAAGTCCGACAGCAAGAAGCCCGAGAAGAGAAAGGCCACCGAGGATGCCACTCCCGTTGCCGCCAAGAAGCAAAAGGCTACCAAGGATGCCGTAGCTGCCCCTTCGCCCAAGCCCACACCCAAGTCCGACAAGTCGACACCCAAGACCACCCCCAAGGAGGAGAAGAAGTCGACACAGAAGCCCGTAAAGGAGAACAAGAAGGAGAAGAAGGAGAAGCCGGCACAGAAGGAGAAGAAGACCAAGGAGCCAACACCCGAGCCCAAGGCGCAGGAGAAGGAGGACGACAACGAGGAGGAGGAGGAGGAGCTCGACGAGGAGACCCAGGCTCTTGTCGAGAACCTTGACGGCGACGACGAGGAGAAGAAGGACGACAAGCAGATCAGCACTTTCAAGAAGGGCCAAGATGTCGGCAAGATTCCCAAGAAGAAGACCAATGACGACAGCGCTACCAAGGGCAGCGGCAAGCGCGGTGTCATGTACCTCGGTCGCATCCCCCACGGTTTCTACGAGCACGAGATTCGCGCCTACTTTGGCCAGTTCGGCGAGATCACCAGACTCCGCGTTGTTCGCAACAAGAAGACCGGCGCCAGCCGTCACCGCGCTTTCGTCGAGTTCGCCGACGCCGAGGTCGCCGACATTGCCGCCCGCACCATGGACAAGTACCTTCTCTTCGGCCACATCCTGACCGCCAAGGTCGTCCCTCAAGCGCAGGTGCACAAGGACCTCTTCAAGGGCGCCAACCGTCGCTTTAAGGTCATCCCGTGGAACAAGATGGCCGGCAAGCAGCTCGAGAAGGTCCTTCCCGAGTCGAAGTGGCAGGCTAAGATCACCAAGGAGGAGCAGAGGCGGGCGGCCAGGGCTGCCAAGCTCGCCGAGATGGACTACGAGTGGCAGGCGCCCCAGCTCAAGGCCGCCGAGGCCAAGGAGCCCGCGCTTCTGCCCGCTGCTGAGGAGGAGCCCGTCAAGGCCATCGAGGCGCCGGCTGCGGAGGAGAAGAAGACGGAGGAGGAGAAGACTGAGCCTGAGGTTGCCGAGACCAAGGAGGAGGAGCCCAAGTCGACGAAAAAGCGGACCGCGGCCACTCCTAAGAAGGCTGCTGCCACTCCCAAGAAGGCCGCCGGCACCACCCCCAAGAAGGCGGCTGCTGCTGCTGCCACACCCAAGGCGGAAGCCACCACGCCTGCTAGGGCTACCCGCTCCACCCGGAAGACCAAGGCTTAGGTAGCCAGCGGTACTCCGGCGAGAGCCACGCGGTCGAGCACGCCGGGCAGAGCCACCCGGTCAATGACGGTCTCTCGGCCCAACAGAAGGGCTTGAACCAACCAAGAGAGAAGATTATGGATGGCGGCGGTGATTGATGTGTGAGGTTGCACCGAAGAAGATGCCCACGCATACGGACACTGGTTTCTGGTTCAGGGAAAGAAAAAGCGCTGCTACATTGATGTTTGTTAACCCATCCCCCCTTTTTCGTCGGGCGGCCAGCTGGTTAAACTCGGAAATAATACCCCCGGTTAGGTCATCTACATATGGATTTCACAAGTTTATTGTGCGGAAAAAGGAAAAGGGACGCCAGGCTTGGAAGCACGATTTCGTTTTTGCATGTTTATTGCTATTGTTTTGTTGTCTATAGAAGCAAATTTTTCATTTTCTTTTATTTGCATTGCGTTTCTCTCATTGATCATGGGTGTAGTAGTCTATGTTACACGATGTGTGCGTTTGGGATGTCACATTGTCTGATTCCATCAGCATAGTTGGACATATGTTTTCCGATGTTGATTGACCACATCGTTTCCGTATGCAATGGATGAAGTGCAATGTGTGTATGCGAATTTCTAATTTGTAGGTTTGATGTACGCACCAAGCGAACCTGAACAAGTGCCCATTAGAGAAAAAGGAAGGCCGATCAGGATTATAAAGCGCGCTGTGATATCTGTTCTACTTCTTCCTGTCTTGCGAACAGAGCCATTGAAATTCTTCCTTCTTCTCTTGCGAAAAGAAAGAAGAGACAAATCCGACAAGTAACGCAATCCAGCCGAGGCCGAAAAGGTCACCTGCCTGCAGGCGAAGGGGAAATATGTGAAGAAGAAAAGGAGAAAAAGAAGAGTTCTTCAAATTTTCGCGGGAGGATTTCTGTTTTATTCTAAAGCTGTGGCTCGTGCGTTGGCTTGGCCTGATGTGGGGCGTGCGTTAACGCTTGTAATTTTGGACGAGTCTCCCATATGAGGACATGTATTTGGGGTGTATGTAAGTTACATATTACTCTGGTATGCATATCTGTTAAGTCAGAACGAGGAACATGAGGAATGCAAAGTCGTTCTGTTTATGCCAGAGGGCCACGAATGAAAAGATGAATCAAACAATTCTTTATCATTCGTAGAGAGGGTTCGGCTTGAGGAAGAGAACCTAGGCAAATGGAGCTTTGTCGCAAGTGAGGAACAGGAGGCATCATGTTGGCTGTTGTGGCTACCTAGGTACTGCCGTCAAGGTACTCACTCACTCGAGAACACGACCGAGTACGTGTAGTACGATAGACCAGCCGAGAGAGGTCAATAAGACAACTATTCCATGTGCACAAGACGGATGCAACACTCCTCAAAATATAGACAGACATTCGTATCCAGAAGCCAAGCAATCATGTTATGTCAGGCGTCGAACTTTCAGGCCGGGGCATCATATGCTTGCTGGTGGGCTTCAGATTGATCAAAAGCGCGGGGTGCAGCCTCAGTAATAAGAGGAAGAGGGATGGAATGCCGATCTGCAAGCTACCAGGTACCTCCGACTCCCAAGATAGAACTGGCTGAACGGAAGTTCCCACTGATAGCCTAGACTTTTGAAAGCAGGAAGAGATTCCCGCGGGGCTGAGTTATGAGAGAGCGTTTCATACCTCGAACGTCCACTGTCAAAGCTCTTTTTATGGCAGTTTTGCAAATGAGTACACGCGGAGGAAGGGTGGAAGCATTGGATGTTCCGTACCTGAATAATTCCGAGTAAACTCCACTACAGCAGAATTTGGAGTTCGAAGCACAAGTGGCCCAGTGGTCAGGGCAGTGACACTGACAGTAGGTGACCGACAGTGACAGGCACCCGGACGCCTACCACGACTCGAACGGAGGACAATCCGCTTCGGTTCCCCAGCTTTTGCCATTGTTGATGTTGTAAACTTCACTACTACACACGGTAAACATCAGGGACAGGAGAACCGAACGGCAACCTCAACCTTTGGTCCTTTGGCAACGGCTTTGAGATCGATCGACAAGTCCACCAACATTAACATACTTATAGCCTCCACACGACCCGACACTATCGTCGCATTTGACTTCCAGTGACCACCATGTCGCCCTCGGCGCCGGTCACCAAGACCGCCCAATCGGCTGGCCAAGGTACGTGACGTTGCCCCGAATCTGGACCTCCAGACTATTACCCGTGTCAATTCGCTTCTTCGCGCCCATGGTGTCCCGCCCATGTATTGTACCAATTGGCCCTGCACACAGCACTAGCACGATGGCTAGCCCTTAGGACCGGCATGGTACCTAACAGGACAGCTTTCTGAAACGAATTGGGCTCGGGATGGAAAATCGACTTCTAACTCAAACGTTTTCGACTGACGCCTTACCATCTGCCGGCAGTCTCGTCGTCACCCGCGCCCTCGTCCGCCAACAAGAAGAAGAAGAACAACAAGAAGAAGAACAGCGCCGCCGCCAGTAATAACAAGGTGAAGCCGAAGGAGGGCGGCGGGAGCAACGCGCCAGATGCCCAAGTGGAAGTCTTGTCAGACCAGCCACCAGCACCACTACTACCACAACAAGCAGAGGAAGGAACAGAGGATACAGAAGAAGCTACTCTGCCTGCTATAGAGGAAACCCCGGCCTCCTTGGTATGCGAATACCCCCGACCCACCAACACCTGCTATCATCGCTCTTTCTCTCCTCTACCTACCCATGTTCTTCCCAATCGCTTTTTTGTTTTTGTTGAATGACTGCCTGTGATAGTTACAGTCGCAGTTCTGGCCATTCCGTTTCTTTGCTTTCTTAACGACATTTTAATCCCCTTGCCTTAATCATAATGTATTTCGCCGGCCTAAACGCTAACAAAGGACCCCGACTGGGTCTCTACAAGGGTGTACAGAACACATCACCGAATAAACTCGACCAGGTGGAAGCACCAGCAGAGGACGAGGACACCACCGTCGACGTAGAGGTACCCGCAACTGCCGCCGACCACCCCGAGTCTCAAAACCCACCGCCACCGCCTGACGGGGATTCCAATCCGGCCCCGGACCCGGACCCTGAATCCGACTCGGAATCGGCTGTCAACAACCCAGCAGAGGAAGAGGACACGACAGCAACAACAACAACAACAACTGCTGTTCATACCACTCCTGCTCCTGCCACCATCGAAACCAACGGACATGCTCCCGACGGCGCAAACGGTCACATCATCCCCAATCCCTCTACAACAACAACTGCTACTACAATGTCTACTACAACATCCCCACCGCCGACGGAGGGGTCTCCAGTAACCAACTCTACTACTACCGCCGACCAAACACCAGCAACTACCACCACCAACAATAGCACAGAAACCAGCGCCAAGCTCGAAGCTATGTCGCAAGACCGCGAGATCCTCCGCGCCGAAGTCGAGCAGCTGCGCAAGCAACTCGAAAGCATACAGAGCACCCACGACGAGGAGGTGTCCCAGCTGCGGTCCGACCTCGAAGAGTCCGAGGCCGCCAAGGAGCACGCCGAGACACAGTACCAGAACCTGCTGGGCCGCGTCGAGAAGATCAAGGAGACGCTCGGCGAGCGCCTCAAGCGGGACCGGGCGCGCGTGGAGGAGCTTGAGACGGCCAACGAGGAGCTGCAGCAGGCGGCGCAAACCCAAGAGGAAGAAACCGCCCAGTTGCGCGAGCAGTTGGCCGAGCAGGCGCGCGAAATCGACGGTCTGCGCAGCCGGACGAACCTGTCCCAGCAGAACTGGGGCAAGGAGAGAGAGGACCTCGAGCACGAGGTGGAACACCTCCGGTCCGAACTCAAAAAGACGAGCGCGGCCATGGGCGAGTGGGAAGTCATCGCCATGGAGGAGCGCAGCATGCGCGAAGGGCTGGAGGCTAAGGCGACTGACCTGGAGGAGCAGCTGGCCAACGTGCGGGAGGCGTACGAGCGCGTCGCCGAGGAGAGGAATACACAGTCGCAGGCCATTGACGGGCTACAGCGCGCACTGCAGGAGATCCAGGAGGCGCGCAAGCGCGAGCTGAGGGAAATGGTCGAGTCGAGCGAGGAGCAGCTGGCGGCGATGAAAAAGCGCGCCGAGGAGGCGGATGCGAAAGCCAAGGAGGCTCAGGACGCCAGGGAGTCGCTCCAGAAGGAGCTGGAGCGCACGGCGCCGTTTGAGAAGGAGGTCAAGGAGAAGAATCTCTTGATTGGCAAGCTGAGGCATGAGGCGATTGTGCTGAATGATCACTTGACCAAGGCGTTGAAGTACATCAAGAAGATGAAGCCAGAGGAGACTATCGACCGGTATGTTTTGTTTTGTTTTGTTCTGTTTTGTTTTGTTTGCCCCTTTTCTATCTTTCTCTACATAACCCCAACCAACCAACCCCTTTCCCCCATTCATTTTCCCCACAACCAACCAACCAACTCAACTCAAACTAACATTGCCATTTACAGACAAATCGTAACCAACCACCTGATCCAATTCCTCTCCCTCGACCGTCCGACCCCAAAAAGTTCCAGATTCTTCAAGTAATCGCCGGCCTCCTTAACTGGACCGACGAGCAGCGCGAACAAGCCGGTCTCGCCCGCCCCGGTGGTTCCGGCGGGGGACTGGGCAGCGCCTCTTCGCTCTTGCGCCTTCCAACTTCCCCCTTCCACCGGACACCCAGCTCCCCCTCTTTGAACCATGACTTCTTCTCCGACATGTCCCACACAAACAACAGCAGCACCATGTCTCCCACCGCCGGGTCGGTAAGAGACGGTAGCACGGGTGGTCGTGAATCGCTAGCTGATTTGTGGGCTGGGTTCCTAGAGAGAAGCGTGGAGGAGGCGTCGGCGCAGCATAATCCCGGCGGGCAGCAACAGCCGGGGGCGGGAGGCATTGGCAAGAGGAAGGATAGTATGAGTAGTACGGGCACGGGGAATACCTCGGGGGGAGGCACGCATAGTGGGTTTTTTGGCTTTGGGAAGAAGAGAGAGGAAGCCCCAGGTCCTGAAGGAAAGGGGCCGTTGGGAATATAGGACGACGGGGAACGGTAGAGCGAGCCCAAGGTCATCCATCGGTTTGGTTGGTCGGTTGGTAAAGGTGGTGTTGTTGACATGATAAAAAAAAGACAGGCACTAAAGATCTATACTACGTAACGGTAAATAAGTAATATGATAAATGGGGAAAGAAGAATAAGAACAAGAAGAAGCTTGGAAGGGGTTCTCATCACTGACATTTCTACGGTAGAGAGGAGAAGAAAAATGGAGAGTCAGCGGCTAAACAAAACTCACTTTGCAGCTCAAGCTACGTAGTAGCTATCATACTGGATAGGAGATAAAAGTAGCATTGAACTAAAGCAATGTCGATACACTTCATGTATTGGGCTAGAGGGTGTATTTGGCTCAGAATTATTCCCAATGCATGATTCACTGCCAGTACGATAAGAAGATCACACTTCATCTCTGGGTGTCATGGTGCGTAACGTCCATTACACAGTATAATAAGTAACCGAAGCATCTTGAAAAAAAGGATCTATAATCACTCTAGATAACGCACAGATGCCATATTATCCCAAAACGCCGCGCCAACTTGCTAACATCATCACAAACCCAACCGGAGAAAAAAGCCCAACCCTTCTCGAGAAACAAAATTTGCTCTTTCTAATCGTCCTTCGACCTTTCACCACCACCACCACCACCACCACCAAGATAAACCGCCGCCGAAAAAGGCGGCAACATACTCCTCACATAACTCTCCGCGTCCCTCTCTACATTCTCCACCACGATCCTCTCCCTCAACGCATCCCTCACTCCCTCCACCACATCCCTCTCCTCCATCACCTCCCCCATTAGCCGCACCTCATGCCGCCAATACGCATCGCTCCTCCCTCTCAGTTCGTCATCCCTGCTGATTGTATTCTGCATCACCCCCGCCGCGTTGATCTTACCCTTGACCTGCTGCAGCTGGCGCACCACCGCTTCCACGCGCTCGGCTGGGCTCGGCGGGTTGGCGAAGAGCCGGTTGGTGCTGCTCAGATACAACAGCGACGCGAAAATGGTGTTCAGTGTGGCAAGGGCCACAAACCGTAAAGTGCGCTGGCGCCAGTGGAAGAAATCGATTTCCGCAAGACGCAAGGCGCGCGCGTTGGATTGGTGGTTATAGGTCGATACCATGTATACGTCGAGAAAACCGAGGACCAGAGAGGCGATGGTCGCTGGGTAGCGCCATTTATACCCGTCTCTTCCTGTCAAAAAGGAGGAGGTGACGAGGGCGATCAAACCCAGGTTGAACAGGTGCGGAGCGACAAGGCCGGGGAGCGCATAGTAGAGGTACGACCTTGGGTCGTCGGAGCTGCAGAAGGGGCAGGAGGCGAGCACGTCCGGGCCGAATTGCAAGTACAAGAGGCGCGATTCGAGGTTGACGAATTTGTGGCGCAAAGCGTTGTCGGCGACGGTGGGCGGGCGCAGCGAGGCCAGGCGCGTGAAGAGCACGTCGACGGGGATTTGCAGGCGGGATTGCGTCAGGTGGAAGATGCTCTCTGGTGTGTAAGCGGGGAGGAGGGCGAGGGCGAGGTAGACGAGCGAGAGGGAGAGGAGGAGGATTAAGGCGCGGCGGACGGCGGGAGGGACGGGGCGGACTTTGAGAGGGCCGTTGACGGTTTGAGGGCCGCGGCGGAGGGTGCGGTATGCGCCGAGGGCTTTGGGGAGGAGGATGGGGCCGAAGAAGATTAGGAGGGAACGGATCCTGTTGAAGAAAGGAACAGAGGGTTAATGGGTGTTCGTTGAGGTTGGTTTGGTTTTGTTTGGAGATTGTGATGTTGAAGGGGAAAGGTAGGCTGGTGGATGAGAGGAGAAGAAGCAACTTACGTTCCCCAGGGTATCGTCGTCATGTTGGAGGATGGATGTATGTTTGGTGATGTTATGGTATCCTAAATCATGGCACGATTTGAAGAAGATGGTAGAAGGGAAAACAAAACCGTTAACCCAAGGTAGGTAATCGGGACCTTCAATCACAAAAGGTGCATAAGTAAGTATCCCTTGCTTCAAGGCAAACAATTAAAATGTTTAAAAAAAGATGCCAGATGGCGCATCCATTGACATCGTGAGCGAGGCTAAAAGAGGCAGGCGGCATGTGGTGTTAGCCGCCGTTTGGGTTGTAGTGTAGCGGCAGGCAGAAAGGTACCCACTGCATCTCGGCTTGGCAGATGCCCTGGATGTGGGTCCGAAACACTTGCCTGTGCTCCACCAATCCGACCCCCACCGCGAAGCCTAGCCAGAAAAAAATCCCTATAAATTTTTGGACCGCCTTCCCCGTCTGCAACTTCTTTCCCTTTTCCTAACCAAACGCCGGGTCGAATCACCACTCCCGCACAACGACAAATGGGACGGCGACGAAGAGTACACGCCCAGTTATTTCGGGCTTCTACCGATGTGGTTCTTCTTCTCACCAACATTCGTCGCTAGCGGTGGTTATTCGGACCGCGCGCGCGCGCAAGAATGTGCATTCATAATTTCGTAAACGTTGGCGCTTTCGAAGCTTCGCCGATCTCTCCTATGGTCGTCGAAGTCAAAAAGTACGCCTAAATTAAGCCCAAGTACTCTGCCAAGAGTCATCTCACGTAGTGTTGCAGTGTTCCAGCTCCGGCAATGAAGAACTTTGCGTCAAATTGATGAGAGACATTCCATTTCGTAAAAGCCATCGCATCATTCATGCCTTCGTGCCTTCGTGCCTTCTGGCTGCTCTTTTGCCAGTCAACGAACAGCTGTATTACATTAATATTCGTGGATACAATCTGCCTCCCATATAACGACATAACTTCTATTGCTGAATGTTGAAAGTCCACCTCACTTGGCCTCGGCCTTGCTGTCCTCCCTGGCTCCCGCCGCAGGCACCGCCTGCTTCACGTTCTGTTTCTCCTGCTGCTTCTGTCTGGTAGCGACAATCAAGCCGAAAACCGCCATGAACGTCTCCATGACAAGCGTGAGCACGCCAGTGCACGCCCACTGCCACACCACAATGCTGACGCTGCCCAGCGGCGCGCGAGGGAACGAGGCGAACCATTCGACGTAGTAGGGGAACCAGCCATACGGCAGCCAGAACATGGGCTCGCGCGAGTACCAGAAAGGCAAGAACCACTGCACACCCCTGGTAGCCACCACGCGCACCGTCGTGAGCGTGCGATCGAACTTGGTCTTGGAGCCGTCGAGATCCTTCTCTATTGTTGACACCATACGTTAGCCTGATGTTCCGTGTGAACTTTCGCGTGGTTGTCCCGGGGGTGTCCTACTCCTCTTCTCCAGATCCTCTAGCAGCTTGTCATGCTGGCGGCGAAGACGCGCCCACTTGGCGAACTCGTCCTGACTGCTCGTTGCGTTCAGCTCGCGGCGGACTGCGAGATAATCCTTCTGCTTCTTGCGCTGGGCCGCGAACTCGGACGAGAGGGGAATCGGGAGCGACAGGGCAATGCGCCACAACTGTGATGGGCAAAAAGGTTAGCTACTCCCATTGTTCCTTCAGGATGAGCGTGGAATAAGAAGTGCGTACGAGGTTGTTGATGGTGGCCGCGCCGATTGTGTTGACAAGCTGGACGAACAGCTCGACGGCAAAGATGACGACCAGTAGAGACGGCATCTTGGCGGCGAATGTGAGCTGGATTCGGTCCGCTGTTGAGGGAAACGTGTTGATAGATGCGTAGCTGTCAAGGCTTGAGAGTGAAAGTTGTTAAAGACAGATGGAGAGAGCTCACTTGCTCATGCCACCGCCTTTCACCCCAAAGATGTTGGATCCTATTCGAAGCTATGACGGAGCTGTCAGAAGGTGCCAGTTGTTCCCTCCAGCTGGAGGCCACCTGCACAAAGCGCTTTATCGGCCGCTTATCGCTACAGTGATGGTGGGGCGACCATTGCAGCGGGAACTTGGGAAGGACGATGCCAAGAGCTGTCAACTGTCCCCTGATGGGATGAGCGGACGGGTTAGGGTTGGCGCCTGTCATCCAGGGCTTAAACATCAACAACACTTCAGAGCACCAACCTCCGACAAGCAACTAAATACGCTCTTGATCAGTCAGCTTGCCGTCTGAAAAATGTCAAGGGCACTGGACGAATCCACCATTGCTGCCTTGGAGGCTGGCAACCCTCAAGCAGCCTATGATTCCATATCCTCAGTTCTGATTTCACCACCACCTTCTGGTCGCCTTGAGATTGAGATCCTCGGCAAGGGGATTCCGCTGCCGGAGGGGACATATGTGCTTCAAGACGGCATTTCAGTAGGAGTATCGAAGCTTGGGCTGGTTCAAGCGTTCCTGATTGCCCGGAATATACTCCAAGATCACATCCTCGATGGCAGCAGTTCCTCATCATCACCGCAGACCGATGACGGCACTTTGTTCGCCGCGACGGCGGTCATCCTTCTTATGGATCCGGAGTTCCTCACTGCTGCGAACACACGGAAGCGACTTATCCAAAAGCAACTACTAGACGATAACCAAATGGCCTGGACCGTGCTGACGAAAGAGAAGGCGTTTCTGGACAGCCTGCTTACCAGTCGATTGCACCGCCATACCAAGTCGCCCACTCTCTGGAACCACCGCCGGTGGATGGTCGGGCATTACAGCTCGCGGGGCTTGATGGTGGACGTTGTTGGAGATATCAAGAATGTTGTATCTGTGGCTGGAGAGCGACATCCTCGCAATTACTATGCATGGTGTCACGCTCGATATCTTGCTGGTATTTTAGGGAGGGAGGACAGTGATTACGAGAACCTCGTAATGGTCATTAAGCGTTGGTGTTGCGAACACCACAATGACATATCTGGTTGGTCGTTTCTCTACTACCTGCTGGATAACCTCGGCCGCTCTCGACAGAACACCCATATTATCTCGTCGAGATTTTCCGAGGTTCTCAACTATGCCGCATCTTGTCGTCTCACAAATGAGTCTGTCTGGGTGTTCCTGAGGACGCTGGCCGCATCCGGCCGCGTGGGCAAGAAGGAGCTTGAACAGTTCACTGCTCTAGGGGCGCAGTTCCCGGAGCCCCCTTTCGAGGGATCAACAACCAACCAAAGTGTGTTGCGTTCGGCAATGGACTGGTACGAGACTTACAGAAGAAACAGTTAGGCGGAGCTTCAAAATGAGAACACATCGTTTTAAAGAGAAACATAAACAAACCGCCACAGGCTTTTGAAGACATGTATATCTGCATTGGCACGTCTTTTGCGGCCGTGTGCTCTCTACCCAGCCCAGCTCAGCATCATTCAGCTCATCCAGGACCCAGCCTCGCCAGCGGGAAGGATATGGCTTACCACTCACCACTAAGACATGGACCCTCGAAACGGGCAATGCAATGCCCATCATTGTCCAGCTTCGAGCAAAAAGGCGACTGGCTTGCTTGGTTCCCGTCAGTAGCTGACGGTCTTCGGCAACGGCAGAAAGACTTCAGAAAGGTTATGGCCGTACGGGCCCGAGCGTGTAGGTCAGTCGACCAATGGCTGTCACCTACAGGATGTGAAACAAGTCAAGCAAGTCAAATCTAAAGCCAGATTTGGATTTGATTTGAGGTAAAATGTACCGATTTGCTTGAAAGTGGAGAGAATTGGCCTGGATTTGAATACTCAAATCCAAGTCCAATCCAGTTTAGGGTTAGGGTTAAAGGAGTAAAAAGGAAGTTCCGTTCCATACAAAGGTACCTAAAATATCTCTAATTTCTAGTTCAGCCCCACTAATTTTTGGATCCCAACCTACTTTTCTCCCTAGGTAGCCCAACACTATCGCTGACTTGCAAATCTTCGAAGTCTAACTTGGCCTATGGATTTGGACTTCCAAATCAAGTCTCGGCTTAGATTTGGCCACGTCCGGAGGAAGACTTACTTGGATTTGATTTAGATGGATTTGACTTGTTTCCTTTCCTGGTCACCTACAACGTTAATCATCAGTCTATAACAACATCATCATCAAAGGTTATAATAAAGAAAAGACAAAAACAGCAAGAGTTCGATACCGAAAAACCCGACCCATGCCGTCGTATGCCCCGCAGATGTGAAATGGACCTACTACTATTTAAAAGTTCGTATAAGAGAGAGTCAACGATAGCCGAGCAACATCTCGCGCCTATTATCCCGGAATTAGTACCATGGTAACCACATGGGACAAAACCAACGCCGCCCCCACGTCCACGTCCAGATGCACAACGGCAGCACATTTACAATCTCTTGTTGACATATATATCACCAACCGGGCACCCGTTCGACCAAAAACTAAGCCAGCCAGTGGGCAGGATTGACGCGCATTACATCGAGACTCGGAACGTGGGTACAATTGCGGGTCCGCCATTGTTATGTTTCTGTTTCGAAAGCCAAGTATCGTTCGACTTAACCCAGGTCCGTTGTCACGCCCCTGGTGTGGTTGGTGTGTAACCATCTCTGCCACATACCTACAACAGTTACAGGTGTGGTTTCAGGCTTTCAGCATCACCAGTGAGCCCCGGCCCAGTGAATCCTGGTGAGCCCGGTTGCTGGCAGCGAGGGCCAAGCGCAAGCGAATGTTTAAACTTGAAAAGTCTGATATTCAAAGAGAGAGTTTTCCTCTCTTTGTGGAAATGGTCATTAGCTCCTGAGTTCCGGGCAGACGATATCTTTGTTTTTTGTAGTGGTGCTTCGGCTTCGGCACAAGGTGTGGTTTCATGGCGTCCTCTGCCGCCCGAGCGCCCCGTTCACAATCCACCTCGGTCAAGGTTCACGGTCACGGGCGAGTTGGCCCGTCCAAAAGTCCGTGTTGGGTTGTTTCTTGCTCCCCGGATTTTAAAGGGAGCAGCAGTCGTTCTTGTCGTTGTCCCGTCGTCGTCGTCTTTTCGTCGCTGTTGTGGACCTCCCCTGCTTTCTCCCAGTCTCCCCCGGTCCCAACCGGCCCCCCTGTTGGAAAGCCCCCCTGTCATCCCCAAATTGACACCCCGCAGCCTTAGACCCGAAGCGGCCAGCGGATGCAACGCCAGGGGGCCTGTGTGATCAAAAAGTGCCAAACCGAAGCCAACAGCAGCCGCACAAAGGCAGCGAAGATGATGCGAAGAGGAAAAGGAGGAGACTGGTTCATGATTCGTGATTTATGAGGAGACGAGACGAGGGAAGAGACGTACCAAGTTTGGAAACAACAATGGAGAAGACGATTCCAAGATACGAGATCTGGCAGGTGTGGTTATCCCGGTTAAGGTACCGGTCGTCATCAACATCGTTTTCGGTCATCGTAGCCGTCGTTATTCATCGCCGAGGTTCCCGGACGAACGAGGAGAGGCTAGGAGGGCAAGGAGCATCAAGTGGTTTGTTCGTGTTCCAGCTGGTCGGCCGACCAGGCCAGACAACAGTCCTGCCAACTGAATGTCATAAAATCGAAACCCATCTCTTGTGTCCGCGGCGTTTGAAAGAGCACACACGGGCTCTCTTCAGTTGTCAGAACATGAGACATCAGACAGTGACAGGGGAATTGAGTGAGGCGTTCCATTCAGTGGAGGCACGGCGCAAATTGGATGCAAGGCCAGACGATGGAGCCGAAATGGGCCTTGGCTCTTTTCAGTCCTTCTCCACCCGCCCGGGAGCTTGTTCATCTGTTCTGACCAACCGCACGATTGGAAAGCAGCGAAGGAGAGTAGGGGACAGGGACCAGGAACCTTTTTTTAAAGAAGCGATCTTCTTAATGAAGATGGAGCCGCGGACCCGCTCGTCAATGGCCGGGCCTCACCATGGATGTTCGAGGCCAAGAAAGAATCTTGGTTGTTGTTGACTAGGAGTAGTTGTTTCTTTTTCGAGCATCATTCCTCGGCATTTTGGAATATGCTGCTTCATCGCGGGTTTCTTTTGAGGCTCACTGCCGCTACATTACCTACTTCCTTCTGTACACCGGCTTCGGGAGGTACAACTTCAACCTTGGACGGACTTGGTGGACTCGTGGAGAACAGAGTTGGTGTAGCGTAACGTCCAGTTGTTCGTCCGGGTTATTGCTGCCGAGCGAGCATGTCCAATCTTTTTTTCTCTGGGATGTTTTAGCGTTACCGGCGAAGTCTCTCTCTCCGCACTCTCGAGACAGATGGTCTCTTGGACTGAGTCCTTGGAATCTCCAGAGGCAAGTAAACAATTGATAGACTTCATCATCATCGACAGTGACGATAGCCCTTGAATTTCCCAACTGGAGGGGTATGTCCGAGTCAAGAGGATCTTGTTCTCCAGAAACCCCAAAAGGCTTGACTGGTTGTGGAAGGAATTGGCCGGGCTGGCATCCATTTGGGGCTAGGTACACTGAATGGTTGCCGGCATCCAGATTGGCAGAGGCTCGCACTGGCTTGGAATCCTCGTCCACGGATGCAGCCATGTCTCTCGCTTCCCTTTTCTTTTTGGTCTCTCCCAGGCCCTCTCCTGATATCCACTTGCCAAGTCTAGAAAAGGCTGCATGTCCACTGTCAGTTCAGTGCATTTTGGAAGGTTACGACGGGCGGTACGGGGCTTGAATGGCTCAATGGCACCTTCCAGTTACCCCATGTTTTTCACCTTTTCACCGCAAGTGGAAGAAATCGGTTCATCACATCTCCATCCAGCTCTCCTTTCCCGTCAAGGCCCGCCCGCTTCCCAGTCAAAGTCTCCATTCCATTGACTTTCTCCTTCTCCAACTTCCAAACACCAACCAACACCACCA